ACCCAGAAGTGGACCGGAAGTGCTTCTGGTCTACTTCAGGGCCCACTGCTGAGTGTGCTGGGGACCCCCCTCATGCTTCCATGGGATGTTCCACCTGCCCCAGCTTCTCGGCGTTCATGAGCTGGCTGGTACCTTGAGGTATGTAGAAAAAACATTTAAAGCTGCGTCTATGTCCAAATTGTCGAATCTCTCCTAATCGATTCGGAGGCTCCTGATTCAATTTGGAGTTTTGGCCTCTGAAACTTGGTCCAAATGTCCACTGAATTGAATCATGCACCGAAGCTTTGCACAGCCCTACATTTTACTTTTTTTGTAAGTTTTAGCACAAATACTCATTAATCATGCTTTTAAGCAGCACTTTTTTGTACCTATTTATATATAATATAAACTATGCATGAGATATTAGTCCAAAGTCAAGAGGTTCATGATTTACCATATACTGTAGTTCATTGGGCTGGGCTGCAGTAGTCAGCAGTGTCCTAACCATGGTGAGTCCATAGCTCACTACTGCTGTGTGTGTGTGTGTGTGTGTGTGTGTGTGTGTGTGTCTATTCCAGATAACCTCCACCCCGGAAAGGATTCATACTTCATGTACTAGTTAAACCCTCACTTCTGACTGGAACCAGGTGTTCGTGTCATGAGTTCTGGGATCCTCCAAAAATTTATATGCAGATAAGGCACAGGACAACTTGGTCTGGCTCCACCTCATGGGGGGCAGGGCCACACAAATCATATGTGACAGGCTGAGCAAGGAGGTGATAGAGGGATTCTGGATGAGCTGTCTGAGGCCCTGTTTGATGATGTTTACCAGACACTTGAGGCTAGTGAAGAAACAGGAATAATTGGAAATGAGAAGGAAGGGTATAGTTCAGCTGTGAAAGTCTAAATGTATTCAGTATATTGGCTCACCATGACATGAAAAAAAATGTTGGCACTGAGGGGAAGTGTACTCAATGGGGTACCATGTGTGTTATTCAGGTTGGCTGCCCTAACCTACCCTTGTGGTAGGTTCCTATCAATATGTGGTAGGTATGCCTATCAATATGTTTGCCCAATATGGACCATGTGTTTTTATGGTCGTGCTCAGTGTTGGCTACATTTAATCAACTTCATAGTTGGTTTCCATTACTGGGCACATGCTGCTTTTGGCAGCCGTTTAATGATAGACAGTGTAATGAGGTTTTCTTGTATGCAAATACAAGACAAAAAGCTTTTTCCTTCATGCTAAATGTAGGGGGGAGGGGCAGTTTCATATTCAAGTAAATATGGTACTTTAAAAGTCAGTATAACTTCTATAGTTTATGGCAAAGCACTTGATAAATAACTCCTCATAAAGTTTCCAGACCTGTTTTTATGTGCTAAATCCAAGAGCAGTGTCTGGGTAGTGGTGACATAGGTAAACTTCCAGGAAGAAATAGAATAGAAATATGAATTGCAAGACCAGAATCCTTTTTATGGTATGTTAGAAAAGCAGACTTATGTTGCCCTCAATGATCTATCTGAATGTAGAAACAGAATATCTAATTTTATCTACCTCTACTATTTATTTTAATCTTTAACATGACTTACTCTGTGAAGCCAAAACATTTTTTAAGTGATTAGATTCATAAGAATGGAAATCATCCATCCCTGTAACCACCAGTTTTTCAAAAGCCTTGACTCCAACCTAGATAGTATTTTGATGGGTACACATAGGAATTAGTTACTTCTTTACATAATTCTTCTTTAATGAAAGCATATAAGCAAGTGTATGGAACATCTATGTAGTGTTGAGGACTTACCTGGTTGATTGAAGCCTGCTCCAGACTTCTGCCATAGATGGTTTCCAGGTTTCCAACATCTTACAGAAAACCTTCATAATAAGGCATAAAACCTTTATTATCTAGTGGTATTAATCCAGTGTTAGCTGTTTTGTTGTATCTTTTTTTCTGCACGGCTATTACACAAATATGACTTTGTGTGGCTCTTCATTGCATCATCCTTATTCTGCAGGTTTTGTAGAAACCGTCATATAATCAAGAAGATACCTTACCATGTTTGCTTATCCCCTTCCTTTATAGCATTCATATGAGTTTGGAGAGTAACTTTGTTGTTAATTAGAGGAGGGTTTATCAACTTTTTGTGGAGGGAAGCAAGTAAAATCAAAAAGTAAGGCTGATCTGTACTAAGAACAGAAAGAACCATTCACTCCTTTAGTCTGACCATGTGTATTATACAAGCCGTACATTTCACCTAGCACAATAATTAAACCTTATTATTTGTAGTGAACCAAATACTTTAGTGGTTGTATTGGAGACCATATATTTTCTTTGAAAATGGAGAGACAAATACAGCTTATACCTGTAGTTTTGGACAATGCAAAGAGAGTTTATATATTCCGTAATTTGTTAAAAAAAGGCAAAGTATGCTTGGATTTTGCTTACTGTTAACATTTTGTGGTCTTTATTGTAATATAATTGTTAAATGAAAAATGAGCTTCAAACTGCAACTTTTCAGTTGCAAAGGAAGGGCTGCTCTATTCTGGTCATGAGAAACATGCTTGTGTTACTTAAACTAGGATTAATGTAGATATGCCTGTAGGTAAGGAGGATAGGTTTAGTCTGTTCATTTGTTGGCTCTTGTCCTTTACTTGTCCAGTTTCTTGCAGAACAGCTTTAGACTGTTTAAGATCTATTACAATAGTGTTTAGAGACTTGTGACTATCCATCTTTGAATTCCAGAATTAAACATATAATCAGATTCTGTAGCATTTACTTGAATTAAATGAGCTTCCTTTTGAGCAAAGGGGAGCTCTCTTTTTTTTTTTAAGAATCTGTCTCCTATGAAAATTCAGCTGTGACCACTTTTTCATACAACATCTTAATTTTGGTACAAAAGCTCTTCTTATTAAAATAGTTATTTGGCTAAAAAAGGTATAATTTTTCTATCATCTGTTAGTTATGGTTTCAATATTACATATAGTATTAAGTGACGGTAGAGTTTTATTTTCAATTTTGTGGTCAAGTTTCACTGGTATTTTATCAGTGCATATACCACCATATTGAGATTTATGAGTGTAATGTAGAAAAAAAAAATACAACAGTTAATGGGCTGTCACTGACTTGAAAATTCTTCCTTTCTGAAGTGGCAAGGTAGGATTCCATAATTTTAAGGTCGTCTTGAGAGGTCTGTTATAAGCCCTTAAGTCTTTCACAAGGTGGAGCTATTGCTATAATTTTTTT